GTCGATACCCCAGAGAGAGGAGAGCTTGCAGCTCCCTCATCTGGGCGCCATAACGAGAGGGAAACATAGCCCTGTCCTGGTAAAAAAGTCAGTTGATCTGTTATTTGACTACCAAGTGTGTACACCAAGGGACAAACAGGCAGAGGAGCTGACTGCCTCAGGCTCTTTGGTTTGGTTGCTCTCTAGTTTTGATCTGGCCCCACTCAAGTTGTTGCCTGCCTCTCCTCTGTTTGTCTGTCACACTTGCTGCGTATTTGTCTTCTCGGCTTGTCTGCACCCAGTTCTCGCCTTTCACCTCTGCTGCTAGACTGTGTAGCTCAACTATGACCCTCCTGTTTGACTCTATTTCAGCAACCCCAGTGCCTTTCCAAATCAGCTCACCTCCACAGACTCTTCTCTGTGTTAGTTTTCCAGCTTTGTTGAAACTGCTTGCCCTTTCAACTCCTTACAGTTGTTTTATGAAATACATAAATGCCTACATTTATGTACGTGTATTTGCCTCATGATGTGTGATGACAGTTAGTATTAGCCACTAATACTAATTAATAGTGGATAAAAAGAACCCGTTTTTGCCCATCAAATAAAGCAGGAGTGTCTTGCAAATTAGACATTGTGGGAAGGCACAGACATGTCCATGTATGTTTCTGAGCTAGTGTTCTTAAAACAGAAATGTTCTTACATGACTCTATCCTTCTTTCCTCCTGTGTATTATTATTATTGTTATGCATAGATCCTCTCTGTGTTACAAACTAAAACCAATTGATAGAATTATTAACTCTTTATTCCCTTCTAGAACCTGGAAGGAGAGAAGTGAACACGGGTACATGGTTTATATTTCTTGTTAGGCATTTTTGCTTTCTGGGCCGCCATATTCATGTTGCCATACATTTTCTTATTTCTGGACACTTTATCTCTGTTCATTTTTTTAAATTACAGTTCAAGGGGTGGATTATGTGTCTATTATTTAGTTCAGCTCATTTTTTAACCAGTTAGTAAAAAAGGGAGAAAAACAACCATTTTTCCTGGTGTTTTAAATTTGCTGGTATCTTTTTTTTTTAATTTTATTTTTCTTTGTTAATTACACTTTACTCACTATGTATCCCCCCCCCCCCCGTGGTTCCCTCCCTCCTCCTGTCACAATCCCTCCCTTCCTCCACCCTCTGCTTGCATGCCCCTCCCCAAGTCCACTGATAGGGGAGGACTTCTTTTCCTTCCTTCTGATCCTGGTCAATTAGGTCTCATCAGGAGTGGCTGCATTGTCTTCTTCTGTGGCCTGGTAATGCTGCTTCCCCCTCAGGGGGAGGTAATTAAAGAGCAGGCCAATCAGTTCATGTCAGAGACAGTCCCTGTTCCTATCACATTGGAACCCACTTGGAGACTAAACTGCCATGGGCTACATCTGTGCAGGGGTCTTAGGTTATCTCCATGCATAGTCCTTGGTTGGAATAGCAGTCTCAGGAACGAACCCTGTGCTCAGATTTTTTCGTTCTGTTGCTCTCCTTATGGAGTTCCTGTCCTCTCCAGATCTTACTATTTCCCACTTCTTTCCTAAGATTCCCTTCACTCTGCCCAAAGGTTGCCCATAAGTCTCAGCATATGCATTGGTAGTCTGCATGGCAGAGCCTTTCACAGGTCCTCTGTGTCAGGCTCCTGACTTGTTCCCTCTTTTCTCCTTCTGATATCCATCCTCTTTGCTTTTCTGGATAGGAATTGAGCATTTTAATTTGCTGGTATCTTAATGATGAGCTTTTCCTGCATTAGAATTGCTGTTGGAGTTTATTTTGCTTAGATTGAAGAACACTGTGTAGTCTGTAGAGTTAACTGGCTAGTAAAGCATTGCTTTCTTTTTTTGTTGTGTTTTTATTTTCTCTTTTGAGATGTTGCTTCTGTTGTAACAGACTGGATTACTGTTTTCTTTCAGTGTGACAACCATCCTCCTGTCTTTTGGCTCTTACGATTTCTGATGGGGAATAACTGTTGAGCTTTTGTAGAGAGGTGTGTTAGCTTTTGTGGCTTTCAATCCTAGAATTCCTATTGGATAAAGAAAGTGTCTGGATACCTTGCTTCACTTTAGACATGGTTCCCTTCATTCTCTGAACACAGTACCCAGAGGTACTTTGAAACCTACCTGTGATAGCTTACCTGGGGACAGTTTCATAGCTTTTCTAGTCCCTTCATGTTCCGGTCATACTGTCATCTTTGGATGCAATGCTCTATTAAAAATGAAATGTTTTTGAAAATATATTTCTACTTACAGATACTGACTGGTTCCAACCATCCACCTTTCCAAGAAATAGTGTTTGTTTGTGACTTGGCTGATGCACTCTACTGGAGTCTTTTGCATAGAGAGCTTCTGACATCACTTTGTCAGAGGCCAGAATGTTGGGCATGTGTAGATGTCGCATAGAGGTGACAGGGGTTTGGCATAGTTGCCTCTGACTGCGTTGATCTCTCCTCACACTGTGGATTGGTATCACTTCTAGCTGTTCAGCTCTATTTTTAACAGGGCCAGTGGCATGCTTATTCTGCAATCTGACCCAATTAAACATTGGCCTTTCTGCAAGGGTAGGTTTAAGACCAATGTTTGAAGTTTGTTTTGATCCTAGTGGGTGGGAGTTTTGCTAGCTATGCTTCCTGTGTCTTCTGGTAAATAGCCAGCCTTAAGTTTTGCTTTTTTTGGTCTTGTGTAGATTTCAATATCCTGTTAATTGCTCATTATTATACTCTCCTTTTTTAAAAGATGTACTTAGTCTGAAATTTTTCTTTTCTTCTCTTTCTTTCTTTCTTTCTTTCTTTCTTTCTTTCTTTCTTTCTTTCTTTCTTTCTTTCTTTCTTTCTTTCTTTCTTTCTTTCATCTTAGACCCATTCTCTCCTACTATGACAGATTTTTATTGCTCTAGAGTTGTGGGTGAGCATGGTGTCCTTTTTCTTTTGTAGTGATCCCCATTTCATTGTCAAGGTCCTTATGGAGAGCCTTGAAGACTTGGGCTGTCTTCCTGTCTCTCTTTCGCTGGCGTAGAAACTTGGCTCTGGCTGTGAGCAGGAGCACATCTGGGCCACATTTGCATGGTTTCAGTGTCTGTACAAGGTGCTGAGGGAACCATGGCCTCCCTGCTTTTCCTAATATGAGCTTGAACTAAGGACCCTGTGATTTATTTGTATTATTTTTGGTCCCTTCCTCATTTCCTCCCTGTAAGCTCTGTGTACTGGTCCTGGCTCCTCCCCTCTCCCCTCAAGCTCTGTGTACTGGTCCTGGCTCCTCCCTCCCCCCCCCAAGCTCTGTGTACTGGTCCTGGCTCCTCCCCTCTCCCCTGAAGCTCTGTGTACTGGTCCTGGCTCCTCCCCTCCCCCCTGAAGCTCTGTGTATCTCTTGAGGAGCTGCTGTTACTCTGAGGTGAGAACGGAGAAGCAGGTCACTACTGAAGTGCTACACACACTTTTATTTTTTTTCCCAACCAAGACTCACATTTTCTTAAATAAGTTTTTATCTGCTGTACTCCCTTGGAACAGTTCTCAGAGGCTTTTAGTGGTTGCTTAAAAAATAGCTCCTATATGTTTCATTGGGGAAAGTCTATGACATTCCTTGCCCTCTTATTTGGACATTTCATATTATCTCTTAGGTCTTTTTCCTCTTCTTTTTTCTTTCCTTTATGACCTGGCATGGAATTCTAGTAGTGCCTTAGGTAGTTATAATGGAAATTTAATATTTTCCTTAAAAATTAGGATGTAAATGTTTCTTTCCCACTCCACCCTCCACCCCTCATTGTAGGTGTTGGGCAGTATGTCCCTTCACTCTTGGCTGTTTCATTTTGCGTTTGTGCCCAGGCTCCACATTTTGACTTGATGTGCTGGAAACAGTGATGCAGTTATAAACTGTCTCCTTGGCTCATATATTAGCTCTGTTTTCAGTCAGCTCCCTGGCCTCTGTCAACGAGCTCCTCAGAGCACACTTACTCTGTTTATCATTTATGAGCCACAATGCTCATGCAACAGTTGTGTAGAAGAAATGGCATGTTGGAGTAAAGGCACAAAGGTTTAGTTGACTGCCCACCACAGATGCTCACTTTGAGCATCTGTGGTGGGCAGTGTGGTGGGCATCTGTGGTGCTTCATCGAGATAATTATCTGGTAAGGACAGTCAAGGCCACATTACAAGCGAAAACCTGACGAAAGTAAAGTGCGGATGGCAGCCATGAAGGAGCCGTCCTTACCATGCAGTTTAGCTGCAGCTGTTAATAAGACAGAGCTCTCGCTGGAGAAATGGAAATGAGGGGATGCCTGGCGTGAGGAAGTGCCGCATGGACATTACATTTGAAAAGAACTGTTTGTGAAATGAATTAGAGCAAGACATAAATTCATTGTCATTTAGGTTGTTTAGTCTCAAAGTGGGGATCCTGGGGAGTTTGTTTCTTTAATGACCCAATGTGTAAATTAAATTTTCTGAAAGCACACTCATTTCTAAGCATTAATTTGAAACTCATTTCAATTGTTTCACAATAGTCTCTCCCTCCCATCTTCAGGGAAAACCCAATTGTCTTGTAACATTCCTTTATAGAATTTGACCTTAGTGACTTATGATGGAAACATTTTTTTTTAATTTCATTTATTTATGTGTGTGTGATGTGTGAGGGTGTATGTGTCACAGTATGTGTATGAAGGTCAGAGGACCACCTGTAGGAGTCTGTTGCCTCCTTCCTCCATTTGGGTCCCAGGGGTCAAACTCAGGTCATCTGGCTTGATAGTTATTCACTGAGCCAGCTAGCCTGCCTCGTGGAAATAAATTAAATATGCAGTGGAAACAGTATTCCCATCTTGTAGTACATGGAAGTGCCATTCTATGAAATTGATTTTTCAAACTTTACATAGGAATTGTAGATTGAGCAAGCATTTGTTTAAATGTGTTTTTGAGAATGTTGAAAGTATGAAGATCTATTTTTGGATTTCCTTCAAATGCTCTGCAGGAAAAGTAAATATGAATTCCTTTTTTTGTTTGTTTTGTAGGCAGCAGGAGCAATCCGACCTCTGGTATCCACGGTCATCAGTCCCTTCGCTGATGGTTGCTTAGACCACTCACTGGACCGTGCCAAATACAGGGCAAGCGAAATGCCACAGGCTTTTCTCTTTGATGTGATCTATGAAGCATATCAGCAGGTAAGAATATGGGCTTTCAAAAAGCTGCGGTTCTCAAAACTGTGTCCACATTTAAATTTCTAGAAAGACCGGTGAGGCTCAGCGTGTAGCTGAAGTCCACGCCTGTGTGTTATTGCAGAGGAGCAATAGGGGTGTTCTGTTGGCTGAGAACAGGCAGGCCGTGCGTCTGGAAGAATCCGTTTGTAAACTGCTTAAGCTCTGTCCTTCTTTTGATGGGTCACAGAAGGCACTTGCTGGAGCAATGAAAATGCAGGAATGTGTGTGTAATGCTTAGAAGTCCATTAGAGGCTCAGAGCCCAGGGCGTTTGTTGGGGCTGGTCTCATAGATGTCCTCTGGCTAGCGCTTACACAAATTCCACGTTCTCAGGAGGAATGCAGATGTTCAGTGTAAACACTGCTATGCATTCAGACAGCCCAGCCACAGAAAATCTACCGTGGCAGTACCCTCTCAAATGCTGGCTGCACATACCTTACAAAGAGCTCTTCTTGAGGACTCTAGATTTAGGCCCAAGATAGTAAAGTTTCTTTACCGATACCTACACAGCTTTAATAAATATTTAGCTTAACTATAAAAATATCACCCCTCAAACTGGTACTGGAGTGTCAGTATTTTTTTTTTTTTCTTTCATTTGGAAACCTTCTGTGCTTATATACTTCTATTGTCATTTGTTTACAGAGTTGAACACGTCATTATTGAGTGTCAGACAATTGATCTGTCGGAAACTTCTCAGTGAAACACAGTGGCGTAACTCACTGCTTGAATGGCATTGAGTAATCAGTAGATGTGTTGAGCAAGATCGGCAGTTAGGGTTCTAGGTAACAGAAACAAATGCATTTGTACTAAATGTCGTAGATACAGCTAGGTTAGAGAGTGGCAGTAGTTATTTACATACATATGTTGAGTTATCAATATTTGGCTCCAGTTACATTTAGAACAAGATTGATTAAGTAAAATTTCATTTTAATGAGAAGTTCAGCCAGTTTTCTTTTTCTTAAAATAGGTTGGAATGCAAGCCATTATTTTGAGAATTTTATTTTGATTATGCTCATTGTACTATTATGGATTTCCCTAAGTTAAGTTCACATATCCCATTTTATAGACTGGATATTACTGAGCTACATTCTGACATCGGCATATTTCTGAGGTTTGTGAAAGTATTTATTAATTTTAATATATACCTTTCTATGCTGTTTTAGTCTGAACATGAACCATCTACCCCAGGTTCATATGTTGACTACTTGGCCCCAGTCTGGTGGTGCTATTTTAGGAGGTGGTAGAAACTTTATAATGGAAGCTGGAAGAAGTAGGCTACTTTGACAGATAAATCTTATCCTGTTCTCTTTTATTTTACTTTTTGATTTCTTACACAGGATTCTCATAGCCTAGTCTGACCTCAAACTATGTATCCAAGGCTGACCTTGGACTCCTGTGCTGGTATAAGCACGAACCACCATGCCTGCTCTGGTCTCGTTCTGTATTCATTTCTCTGCTTCCATTCTGATATGGTGGCTCTTGTCTTTGATATTGGACTGTAACCTCTGAAATAATGAACAACATAAATCCTTCTTTTCTTAAGTTGTTCCTGTCAGGTATTTTGTTGTAGCAATGAAAAGCCCAAGATATATAATATATTTTTGGCAACTGGGATAATTTAGAGAGTGTAGAATGAAGCACTTTAATATTTCAAATGGATTTGAAGGTAAAATTGGGATAATTTCCCCAGAAGATGTATATAACATCAAAGATATGGAAGAGTCATTAGTCCACAGATTTGTTTTTAGAAACTAGGATATAGTTATCTTTTTTTTGAGAGGGAAGTGAAGGTTTTAGGGGATTAGAATTAGAATTTACTGTTGACATTGGCAAGCATGAGATTCCTTCCAGGCATCTGATTATGAGTGCTAAGAAAGTGTAAAGAAGAGTGAAGATTGCTTTTGCTAAAAAACAACAACAAAACAACAAACAAACAAACCCCACCGAATCTTCACTTCCTCCGTGGAGTGCCTGGTGGGTTAATTAATAGCAGGATGAAGTTGAAAGCTTTCCTTCATCTTGTATCTCCCTCTTTTTTTTGCTTTAAATCTTGGAATCAGATACTGACTCAACTGTACATGTTAATGTTAGTCATTTAAGAATGTGCATAGAAATCTTCCCTTTCAGGGCTGAAGACTTCAAAATAGAACAACTAAGGAGTTTTCATTGGATTCTCACTTCCAGCCTTTAAAACCTTCTTTTCCAGAATCCTTGAGTGACATCTAGAAGTCTTCAGTCATTTCCCCAAGCTTTTCAGGGGCAAGAGAGCCTTTCAGGCACATTATGCCACATTGAGGAGCAATCCCAGAATCAGATTATTTCCTCTAAGGAGAAGCAGGATGGGAACCAAATTGCCACTTGTTTCAGGACCACAGTTTTGTAGTCAAGCATTCACTTTGCTGACCAAAATCCTACCTGCATACACCCACCCAGCCAAACTTTATTCCCTCCAGTGCAGGGCCTGGCTATCCCCAGTGAGAGACTTGGACATGGAGTAGCATCTATCTATCATCATCTTGTCATCTATCTATCTATCTATCTATCTATCTATCTATCTATCTATCTATCTATCTATCTTACTTTCTATCTATCCATCTGCACACATATATGCGTATAAGAATTTCTTTCCTTTTTTTTTTTTCACCATTACTTTTCCCTTTTCTTCTAGATAAAATTTACTGGGACTCCCAAAACTTGAGTCCATCATGGATTTGGATTTTAGAAACAGGGAAAGACTATAGTGCAGATGTTTAGATAGAAACATAAACAGTTGCCTTCATGTTCACATTTAATGCTTTGGACTTGATCAAGTTCATCAAGTGAATGAATGTAGAAAGAGTAGAAGAGAACAAAAGGCTTACCCAAGGTTTTGAAGCCGAGGAAGAGTTGTTTCATATGGCTGTTTCTAAAACATTACCAGAAATTCCATGAATTAAAACATTAGTTTTATTCTGTTAGAGTTCTAGAGATGTGAAATCTGAATTAAGGTGTTGACAGAGTAGTGCCACTTTGGGGGGACCTCGAGAGGACTTGCCTCCTGTGCTTCCCTTGTCCTCCATGCTGCTTACACTCCTTGCCTCCTGGCCCTTCCCTTGCACTTTTATTGTCACATGCTCTGGGGCCCAATCTGGGCTTCTGTTCCTTAGATGATCCTTGTGGTTGCCAGCACTCTCTTGGGTAATTCAAAATGATTTCCCTGCCTTATGATTGTCAATTTAATCACACCACCATAGCCCTTTGACATCTGTTAATAGATTTTAGGGCATGAACATCATCGTATAGGGAAACATTGTACAACAGACATACAGGGGATGAGGGAAAAGATAATTGGTCATGTAGCCAAGCAGGTCATATCCCAGAAAGCCCAGTGAAGGCAACACTCCTAGTGATTGAACCATTGTGCTGAGGGATGGATGGGGATTTATGGGAAACAGTGCCTATGAATTGTAGCAAAGTGCTGAGGTCACTAGTGGTTGAAGGTGGTGGTATACATGAAAACCTGGTTTGAATTCATTTCAGACAGAAGAGAGGAATAGTTTGGGGAAGAACTTTGGCATATTTAAGCAGAAGATGAACTAGGTAGGTACTAGGAGTTTCAGTTCAAGAGAGATGACTTAACAGCTCATTGATGGGAGGCAGTGTTGGAGTGAGGGCTGGAGCCCTGTAGCAGGGGTGTCAGGTAGAGCCGACCTTGGCTGGGATGTGGATGGCACAGGGCATGAAAAAATGCAGAGTAGGTGAATACAGGTGCAAGGTTTGAACTGTTCTCCTAGTTCTGTGTTCTCTTCTGCTCTAGGGAGCAGGTCTTCTATCCAGGGAGGAGTGTGAACACCATAGGAAGGCTTTTTGGGTAGCAAATAGTGGTGTTTTATTCTTTCCTTTTCCTCACCTTCTTTTAGTGCTGGAGATCAAACCCATGAACGTGCACATGTCAAGCAAGCGTGCGGTCAACTTTTCATTCGTATATTAGGCCTAAAACATATATAAAGCTTTTCTGATGAAAAAAAAATAACAGATGTGTTTTGGGGTTATTTATAGCAAACTGTAATAAAAACCTTTGATTGAAAAATCTACAAAGCTTTTGAGTGGTTCAGTCATTTATGTGGCCTTGAGATACGGACTTACATTGACCTTTTTTTCAGGATAGAACTTCTCATTGTGCAACTTATGTGAAAAATGCATACTGAAATTCACCATTTTCCAAAAATCGAGTAAAAATCTGCTCATTGTAGCCAAGGCTGTTTGAAGTTGAGTTATGAAGCATGCCCCTGGATGTTGTAGGGGACCTTGCTGGATGGTGTAGGTGACTCTGCAGGGTACACAGGCTGTGTCTCCTCCCTGCAGCCTGCTGTTCTTAGCTCCATTGCTGCTTCCCGCCTATCTCATGTGTGCTTTGACCATGCTCAACTCCTTTTAGCTCCTTTGCATATGATCCCTGCTTCTGTCTGGGATTGCATTCCAATTTTATGTCTCTCTTCCAAGCAGATACTTAAGATCATAATATAAATATTTAATTTGTTTTTTTTTTGGTCCTGGGCTCTTCTGTATGATTAGATATTCATTGGTTTTCTTTTGTTTCTTTCTTTTAAGATCATCTGGAAAACAAGACTACCCTTTGGGAATTTTTAGTGATATAGTAAGAAGTTGCTATAGGAACAGATTCCTAAAGAAAATAGCGAGACTTAAAGAACAGCAAACAAATCTTACAGTAGCATCAAGTAAAACCCCAAGAGTGGTCCCTGAGATTTCTACTAACTGTTAAAATATGCTATTCTATCCTTGCAGTCTAAAGGCAAATAATAGACTATTACACAGAAACCCTTTCCAATTGCACAAGTCTGTTTCTTGAGAAAGTTGGTGTGGTGGTCACAGATCATATCTCAGGCTTCATTGTTGGGAAACTCCACCTCATTGCTTTCATACATATTTCCAAGTGTGTGAGCTTTGGAATAGCTGATATGTTAAC